GTAAAATAGAGAAATAGTAATAAATCACCAAATTAAAAACTGACTTACGTTGAGGTTACGTTGAGATCCTAAAATGAAATAGTATTCCATATTAGGAACTCAATGATATTCCATATTACGAACAATATGATGGAAGGAGAAAAATAAATATAACTTTTTTTATTATTAAATATTCATAAAATAACATTACCATTTAAAAACTACATATATCGATTAGATACTTACCCACCTATATCGAAATATTCATGTAAGAATAATAAGATGACATATACGTAAAACTTACGTAAATATCCAATAGATGTTTCGTCAACAGTGTCGCACACTCTTACTCGCATTTAGTGATGCCAAACACCACACGCGCACTGGCCGTCAAACGCGGGTAGCCCGAGGGATAACATGACATATATCTAGAATATACGTGGCGCTTAGTTTTAGAAATATTTTGGTGTTCCATATTAGGGACGTATTCCATAATTGGTACTTTTCCTATATCGATACAGAGGCCAAATCTATAGTTTTTAGAATTTTTGTCTGTCTGTCCGATACCGCATCACAGAAAGATTCTAGAGGGAATTCTAGAGGGATTTTGATGAAATTTGGTATGGTCATAGCTGGTTATCCGGGATAGAGGATAGGTACTTTTTACCGCGGTAAAATATCTCATTTCTGAGAAAAAATACAAAAACTGGTTAGAATAAAACCACGATGATACTGTATATATTTTAGCAAGGTAACTTACTAAATAAGGCAAAACTATTAAAAATTGCTTATCTTGAAACAAAATAACAATAGCGCTATTTTATTTGGTTGCTGGTTATCTGAACGCGGGCGGAGCCGCGGGTAATGCTAGTACGGAATAAAACTTGCAAACTCCGGCGTATTAAGTAGAGTTAAAGTTAAGTAGAGTAAGTTAACTTAATTATATAGCTTACTTGATTATATTTTTAAATATCTACTGATATAGTTTATATATTCATTCAAAGATAGATGCACAGTGAATAATTGTTACTAGCAGCCGATGATTGTACCGATGTGATCATTTGATGTATCGGAGGGCGCGAGCACCTGCCGCCAGCCCCTCACAAATCTGGCCCTCGCAGCTTACTTCACTACAGCTTAACACAGTATAGACAAATTTTTACATTAAATTAAGATTTTTATAGATAAAAAATATTTATTATGTGTTTAGAGGAGATTTATTTTGAAAATTTATAAAGTTACTAGATACGTTTTAACGTTTAGTATGGAATAGATAGACTATATATTATATAGGTATGATGAGTTGTTGTGGGTTGTATAATAATGTGTTTCCCGTGGGAATGAAATAATCTCCTGCGGTAAAAACGAGCCTATGTCACTTTCCAGCCCTCCAACTATCTCCTCTCCACACAAAAAAATCACGCCAATCTATCACACTGTTTCGACGTGAAAAATGGACAAACGAACTAAGATACTTTCATTCTTATAATATTATATTTACATACTACTTTTATAAATATCTTATTAAGCAATAATGAAGTGGAATATAAAATAAATGTAAAATTTAGTTAAAAAATAAATAAAGCAGAAAATACTCTTAAAATATTGCACATACTCGATAGACAGCACCGATCATAAACGATGGGTAGATATTTTAAAAACTCATGCTCAATAAGTCAATTAAACATTTCACGTCGGCGGTGCGCAACACGCCACTTAGGGGATGGTTCCCGATATAAATTATTGCCCTTTGTTATTGTGCCCTTAACCATTGTTTAAGCGCATTATAAAATGATTTTTGAATGAAAATTCTGTAAAAGCATGCATTTCCTGCCAATCGCTTTATCTTATACACTCGTAAAAACCATCCGTAATAATCTATCCTTGTAGAAACAAGCCCTAACGGGTTAGAACGGATTTATCTCTATTTATATTGTTTTATTGCAAATTGCGTAAGTTAGTTGCTAAAGTCAGGAATCTATAACTATAAGTCTTATCATATATAACAAACTACACTGAATTTCATTAAAAAATCAACACCTGAATGTATATGGGCTTTATTATATATGCAGTATAATACCTATTAATCTGAAGGACAATAATTGCCACGTTCTATTTAACTTTAGATTTTCAGTTATGACTCCCTCGCCTATACCTACTTGTTTGAAAGCTTTCAATTGTTTCTCGAATGAGCTTGCTTTACTATAGAGTTCAAGTATTTATTTAAATTAGTTTGTTAAAAGATTTTTATAAACAATAGATAAGAAAACAAAAGGATTGCAACATATGGTACGGATTACGAACACCTGGCGCCTTACCAGGGCAAGTCTTAGGTATAGTATTTTTGAATGGTATTTACACAATGCGATTTTTGAGGACGTTGTGGTGAGATATATAAATTAATATAAAAATATATTCTATATTTGAATAATTAGATTTGCCGTATTTTTTTTCATATTATGTTGGTACCCATATTATGTACACAAATTGTATTTTTACCAATGAAAGTATCTATATGTTTTTTTTTATGAAAGAAACATATACGAGTACATGTAATTATATGATAAATTATAAATAACTTATCTGAAATTAGGTTACAAACATATATAGGAGAAGCCTTTTTTATCATTGAAAAATAAAAAATATTTTTAAAATATCTTTTTACACATAAATGTAAATGACAAGTTTTCACAGGTGTTTCGTCTTAAATAAGTACTTTCTCTTAACTTCTTCGCAAGTACTTATATTTTAGTCTTTGTAATCAAATGGATGTATTGTTCTAAGTAAATTCACAATTGCACACCTGTTACTTTGCTAATCCTATTTACTACGGTAGTAATAAACAGATGTTCGATGATTCCACGCATAGCTTGAATAAGTATCTATGTAGTACCTATTTAGTTTTGAAGTATGTGATAAATTATTTTAATAAAAAATCTGATTTAATACCTAACAATACATAATTATTAAATGTAAATTTTCTTAGCTTATGGCTATAAGATTTCATTTGTCGCACCTATGAAGATTTTCTGTATGGCCCAAAAGTTGACTGATAGAGAACGCTTGAGTGTTTTGTACAATTTTTATAGTTTATATAAATTAAATTTTATTTTATATTTTCATATTTTAAATAAAACTATCTTTTCGGATTTTGTCGCGGATTTATTTGGATTTTTGTTTCCCGACGTTTCGAATGCTTTACAGCATCCATGGTCACAGGAGAGACTCCATGGATGCTGTAAAGCATTCGAAACGTCGGGAAACAAAAATCCAAATAAATCCGCGACAAAATCCGAAAAGATAGTTTTATTTAAAATGTCAAATATTCGCGTAAATCTAAGAAAGTATTATATTTTCATATTTTATTTTTTAATAATATAAAATAAGGTTATTAAAATGTTCATATATCTATCGTACCGTATCGTGTAGCGAACCTACTCTAAACAAAAAAAAATATCTTAAAAAATATATTTTTTAAGATATATTTTTGATTTATAGAATTTACATAAATACAAGGTAATAATATAGATTACTTCATAATAATATATGCTTAGTTTTTACCTTCGCTCCGCTCGGGTTCGTCCCTATACTTACGTTTTAACGTAGATTTCTCAGAGATGAGATATTGTCTCGCAGTAAAAAGTATCCTATATGTTGACCCGGATAATCAACTATCATCATACCAAATTTCATCAAAATCCCTCCGGTGGTTTTTCAGTGATGCGGTAACAGACAGACAGACAAAAAATCTTAAAACTATAGATTCGGCCTCTGTATCGATAAAAATGTCTATTTCAATAAGATTTTCCAAAAAATATTTAATCTATAGATTCGACCTAGTTACCATTTTATTATATATAGGTATAGATAATATAGGTAAGTAGCTTAGGTCTACATTGACATACAAATCTAGTTAAACGCGGTCCATCAATTTTTTTGACTAACAATAACAAACAGAAAAAGGGAATACCTACACTCTTTTAAACTTTATCGCTTACATATGTATGTATTTGTCCATATATTTCCAAAGTATAGATGGGTAGCCCAAAAGCAACATCGAAATATTTGAATATACCCATAGATAGGTACTCTGTTTCATAATCACATAAGTATCTATACCTAATAGAATTATAAAAAGGCGACACTCAAAGCAAGAAAAATGGGCATAAAATGTAAAAGACAAAGAAACCTGCTACATTTATGTTTATATTTTTCTATTTTTATACCTTCTTATAAAAAGTGTTCAATTATTTTTAATGAACTGAGGATACCTGTACTGTACAAAAATTGTTAAAAAAAAAACGATTTAAAATACATATATCACTATAAGCATTATTTATTATAAGTATTTTTGGCAAATGTCGTCGATCCGTCGGCTTTTACCCTTTAACAAATATGCTTATGATTTGCTTAGTAGAGTTAAGTCTATGTAAATGATACTCAGATAAATTAATTTAAGTTTTCTGGTTAGACCTCTTAACATTTTTACAACGAGGGAAAAAACTTTTACCTAAAAATTTTACTTTTGTTAATGGGCAATTCAAATATCAATAAACAAGACGAGAAACAATACGCTAGCGCACACGTGCAAGTCATAAACTGATAACTGGGTTTTGAAGGTACCTGTTCATAGAATATTACTATCCTCATAATTGTCTTTCTACGACAATTTACTAAGTAGTTGCACATGTGTTGACTTGCAAGGGTAATTGTTACTTTTCTATTTATTTTCAATAACTGTTATTTAAAAGGTAAATTGCTTAAATTTATATTTAATGTAAGCTTTGTAATAGAAATCGTGTAAATAAACGACTAGTCTTAATAAATAAATCTAACAAAATGTTCTCATCATAATGTATTAAAAAAAAGTATGAAAAAGTTGAACACGAGCTTATGCCGACTTATTAAAAACACTCTAAATGAAAATCGTTATCCGGACATTTAGAGCGGCGTCCATAACGAACCCGGCTTCAACAATGGGCTTAACGTGCGCACTCATTACAAAAGCAACATAACGTAACATGCTACGTCGAAAGCTCCTCTATTCAAAAGTATACTCCAGTTTTTTCGTTGGGAAGGCTGTAGGAGCGTTGCGATTGGTCGGATTTGGGCCCGCCCCGCCTAACGAGGGCCGTCATTGGCGGAGGTCAGTGGAGCACCCTCAAACTGATCTGAGTAGGCTGTCGAAGCACGAGGGCGGCGCGGGGTGTTCTTCACCCCGAGGGCCACTCGAGGGTTGTTTAGTACGGGCGCAGCGTCGCGAGACGCAGCACGTGTTCGGTCCTGTGTGTTGTGTCAGTTACCAAAATTATTCCGAAAACGAGCTCTCCCGGTCGGGAGATGAAATGCGAGGAGGGAGAGAGCGCGCGCTCGCCGCCGCCGCTACTGCCGTCGGCGTCGTTGCTGGCTTGGAGCCCCATACTGTTGCCACCATGGGGACCAGCGTTTTTACCAGCACTTTATCCGGCTGCATTTCGATCAGCTTTTCCGGGGTAAGAAAAGTGACTATGGGCTTTAAACGTGCGACATTAAAGTGTATATAAATGATACATTAATGATGAAAATGAATGGATGATGAACGAAATTGTGCCTTTACTCTTTAGTGTGCTTAAATTATATTCTAAAATTTGAATCTGGGACTCATATAAACATATCTATCACGGTTTACCTGACGGGATTCATATTAAGTACCCTTTTGTCCATTAAGAAGTTACATTTGTCTGCGCTATTACGACTTAGTGAGAGCTTGTTAATAGATATGTTTACAACCTGCTTGAGGCTCTTATGATCCCGTCTTTTCATCGTGTCACGTACAGAACTAGAGATATTTCACGGCTACATGTAATTCTAATATTTAATAAACATCCGACTGTTTGGTTCTTATTGAAACTTCGGTCCGTTCTTTTATACGGGTCACGTTTTCTGGAGAGGTCCTTATAACTTAACAATAAGCGGTTAAATCGTTTTTTTTTATTTTACACCCTCAACTCATTGTCAAAGGACGTCTGACTTGTATATGTAAAAAATGTTTACATTCGTAATATTAGAAAATATTAGTAGGTAGTATTTAAAAAAGTCTATTATCTTTAATTTCGTGTCAAGTGATATGGATAGTGGAATGAAACTTTATTCAAATAGACTTATTACAAGCAGTTTTGAATCGTCAATTTAATTTTGAAGAGCGTTAGTGTAGTCAGTCCGCGAGGAAGGAATCACCGGTTCGAAAAAAATATGTTGAGAAGAGCCGGCGAGAAACTCAGTTTTAAAAATAACTTTTAACTGATTAAATTATATTGACTTGATACCTTTTTAGATTAGCAATCTTACGCGTTTAAGTCTTTCCTGAGTACATTTAATGATTCTTCAAATAAACATATTTTAATCAGGTTAATAATTAGATTCTTTTTTATAAATATTTATAGACATATGAATGTGTATCGATTTTAAATAAAAAAAAAACATATATTTTAAAAAAGACATTAAATTTATATTTTCGTAATTTAATTTTTTTACTGATATATATTTTATGTGTAGTTTGCTACATGTTAAAATAATTCACCTGTGCTTTTTTCATTATCAAAGTATGTTCTAATTAAATTTATTGTTTCAGTTTGCTAGACAGCATGAAGATGCCAGGACAGCGGCCAGGCTTTCAAATTTCTGATATTCTAGGCCTTAACGAGGCTAAAGGCCTAGAAGCACCACAAAATGGACTTAGTTCATTGGAACTCCCACCATATCCGCCGCCGCATCACAATTATACACACGACCTACTTCGCCACCATCAACCATGGCTTTCCTTGGAACATCATGAGAGTGCTGGTAAGTAATCAATTATTCACTTCTAAATAAAATTGTTATTGATATTTTAAAAACAAGTGTTAAAATAGGTAGGTACGATTATGATTTGATGATGATATCTTTAAATAATTTTTATTAGAGCATAAAGATGGTAGCTGTTAGTAATTAGGTACCAATGTGGACTTCTTAAATAATTTATATAACAAATTTAATTATAATTGTTCTAATTTATTACAATGTGTGAAAGTATCCATTTTAGTCCATGAATTGTATCACTTTTAACTAGAAAGTATAGTTTATTACCCATTTATAATTATGGGTTTTCATTAAGCGTGTGCGGTAATCTCTTACAAAAGCAGAGACTCTACAAGAGTAGCTCTTGTAAAAGTCAATCACTTAGTAAATACTTAGCTTGAACAGTCAGAAGGCAGGACTCTTATGTAATAAATTACAAAATAGAATTAGTATGTGGATACTAATTATTTGACATACTCATGTAAGGAATGTCGGTTTTTTAAAAACGTTAAAGGTACATGAAATCGTTTGTTATAAGCACGTTATCATCTAGGTAGGTACCTTACTGTTATATAAAGATGTCAATTTTAACTTGTCTTACGAAATGACATTTTTATCCAAACGATAACCGATAAAAGATGATATTATGCGGCAGGTATTTATTTATTAATGGAACAAAACCTGCTGTTATTATTATTCTTGAATTAGTTTTACATTTCTCTCTCAGCTTAGGTGAAGACAAACATATTAAGTATTATAAAATTATTTATCTACCGAATACACATTTCAGGCGATAAACTGTCAATTTGAATATCTTTAAATTTATCAGATTCGATGAAGACAAGTACTAGGCGAATTATCATACACAAATATATTGACCCACTCGAAAATAATAGGTGTTTGGTAGTCGGCGTTGAGAGGGCGAGATTATTTTTTGAAATGCTCCTCCAATGGAGTGCTTTCAGCCGCTAATCTGCGCCTGCCATTAATTATGTTTATCGCTTATCTAATTTTCGGCACTCATCGACACATTTGATTGCTTGTTCAAAAACACTAATCCTTCGTGTTGCGATTAGACGTGTTTAAAAATGAGGATTTGTAAATCTATTACGTGATTTATTGAAAATGCTTATTAGCTAGTTCTTATTATATATCTCATTACATGACACATTTTTAACTTCCGATTTACTATATTATTTTATCCAATAAATCATTATAATTTTCAATTTTGATAAACATTTTGATTTACATAATGTTATATCCCAATATTTCACGTTATTAAGCATAATTTATTTGTATTTATTAGACAATTACTTATTTCTATATGACTTTATATAAATTTATCTTATTAGCTAAAAATGTAAGATACAAGTTTATTGAAATTTTGGTCATTTTGTTAATAGTTCGTAAATTCTATGAAAGTATAGACAGTTTAATCATTTATAAATGGGGTATGTAATGTCACGCCCTCAGATCGGGGGCTAACTGTTGTTTAACTTTAGAGGGGTGCAATGCGGAACGAATTTGTCACCAATGGAGAGAGGCAGCTGGTTATCAATTACACTGTTTGCGGCTGTTAGGGATGCTATTTCTTCATTATTTGATGACAGTTATAGATTCTATTGCTATTGTTGTAAGAGGTAGCTATCTATAAATAACATTCGCAACCATTAAAGCTAACATTATTCAGTAGAAATTATTTTAGTTCTTATTCTATGTTCTGTACGGTCTTTCTTTTATGTTCCTATTTTATTCCTTTTAATGTTCAGTTTTTATTTTATAAATATGTATATTTTTAAATTTTACTGGAAATTAAATGTTTAGGTATGTACAAATTAAACAAAATATTATCGACGTTTATTTAAAGGTAATTTTGTAACTACATATTATAAAAACATTACCTACTTATTAATAAGACAATATATTAAATCAACGAGATGCGCTTATTGCGAAAGGACGTTCTTAGAACAAAAGGACAGCTGCCGCTTGGTGGGAGTCCCCCCTCCAACCTCCTCGCGCTACCACGCCCAGCCTCCCGCCTCTTATACCTTCGTGTGAAACTGAGCCATGTGTGGGGAACTGAGAATAAATGAACAATGCAATATTTGTGGTAATTTTTTCATGTCCCATTATACTTTCCAACGGCCCTTAGTTGAAGTTAAATAGAGCGACCCTAACAGATTAATCGCGTATTTAGATATAAGTGTAGTACACGAATTATTTTGTATGTGGTAGCTACGTTTTTAATACGTTTTTGTGTTATAATTGTAATAATCAAATAAATCGATAGATGTGTAAAACAATTTCAAAGTAAACCTTACTTTAATATTTAAATAACTTAACGTAGGTAAGTATTTATGTAATATTTTTGTTGCAGGTGTGCTCGGGCAACAAGCGAGCCCTGACAGTACATCCCGCGCATCTGAACTTTCGTACGCAGCCCCCGCGACTGCCTCCCCGACTATTGTTGACACACGTCACGACCAGGACCACGATCATGACCAGGATATCCACGACCACAGCATAGAACATGACGATGATAACGACAACGATCAACCACTTAACACTGGCTCGGACTCAAGTCTCTCGCATAAAAAACGAAAACGTCGCGTTTTATTCTCCAAAGCTCAAACTTACGAATTAGAAAGAAGGTTTAGGCAGCAGAGATACTTATCGGCCCCTGAAAGGGAACATCTGGCAAGTCTTATTCGATTGACGCCGACGCAAGTGAAGATATGGTTTCAAAATCATAGGTATAAGACGAAACGCGCTGTTCAAGAAAAAGGCGCTCACGATTTAAATGTCGGCGGCTTGAACTCTCCGCGACGTGTCGCTGTTCCTGTGCTAGTGAAGGATGGTAGGCCATGTATTGGGAAACCCGATGGGTTGCCGTCTCTTGGTATGACTCTACCTCCGTATCAACCAATGCATCACCAGCCGCCGGTGACAGGGCACGCACCGCAACCGAATGGGTGTTGGTGGTGAATACAGTAAACTGTAAGAAGTGTTAAATAAACTAGTCGTGTTAGCAGTTTGCAGAGGTTTAGCAATATATTAAGACCAATCCTTCTTCAGATGTGTTAGTATTTTGTTCTTGTTTATTTTCATGCTTTTACTAGACTCAGTATGTGCCAACGGCGTGCTTATCTATCTGACGCATGCAATCGGTTTATACAGCAAACTGATAAGTGCGAAGGTAACATGGAAACAGAATATTAGCATTGATCTCTATCAATAATTTTGCAAATTTATCGCAATATTTATTTCAAAAATGTATAAATTAAGAGCAGAGAAGCGCTTGGAGACAACAATACTAAATTATTCCACTTAGCTACTAACTCGAATATTGATAATATAAGAAAATTTAAGTAACTATTATTTGCGAAACTTAAGGTACTGGTTCCTATTATAAAATAGCGCATAACTAAAATAATAAGAAAAAGGATCCAAGAATATTAATTTGTCATTTTAATGTTTTATGATAGTTTCATTTAATCCAATGAAATATTTTTCGAGTCTTTAGATTATTATTATTTGAGTGTTGAGGTTTTGAGCTCTATTATATCCAAGTATAGTTTAAGATATAGATAATAAATAATATTTAGTTTTAGTCATTAAATACATTCCATTTTAATGTTTCTCTGTAAATTGGTGTAAAAAGTGAGTTACAGTTATTATATTTAAGATAACATTATGAAAATGACCAGATTTTATCAGATTGCAATATTTAGATTTAAGATTCAGTATTATCATAGTCGAATATGCCTAGCGAATAGTTATTTATGTATGTTCCAAAAAATATATTTATAAATTCGTAGTTTGAACATAGAGTAGAGTAGCAAATGTATATTGTGTACATAAATTTCTTGTGGGCTTATCTTTGAGACAAATCTTTTCTTTTACATTCCTTATGTACCTACTTGCCACGTATTGTACCTACTATTTTATCAACTGTGTTTTTCATTTAAAAAAACATTCCGACTGCTAAGAATAATAAAATATTGTAAGTGTTCAAGATATCTGTCCACCTGAATTTGTAAAAACGTTTAAATATATAAATTATTATGTGAATATTAAAATGATTAATAACATTTACCGTGTTTTACTCGTCTTACCCATTTTTTAATCTAATACTCGTATACACAATAACAAAACTCCTCCAAAACGGCTTAACCGATTTTTATGTAATTTTATGTGTAGGTAGTTATTCAATAGGTCCGAGACTAGGACGTAAACTACTTTTCATACCCCTAAGTTTAAACTTTTTATTAATTTTTTTATGATTCGGCATTAAAAAATACATACAAACTGAAATTTTCATATTATTCTCATATTATTAAGGATTTAACATGGCTATTTCCCTAAAGTGCGAATCAATTATATTCGTACGTAAATGAAGTACCTACCTACCTACCTAGTCGAAGTCCCAGACAAGAGTTATTGACTATTATGAATGCATTATTTTATGTTATGTTAAAAATTGATTAGATCTACTTATGTTTAAGATATAGGTATTTTTTAAAAACATTTGATTAATGTTATCAAGTTGATATACTAAATATTAGCATCTTCATCTACATTTGACAGTTAATTTCACCTTTGTGAGTTAATTAAGATTATTATTAATGCTGCATTCTTCTTGATTCTTTAAGTTAAACCTAAATTACTAACAAATATTTTAAGGTAAAGAAGTAAAAAATTAAACATTTTATTCATTTTAATAAAAAATAGGGGCATTTTATGAGTAAGACCTAAGTAAGATTAACAATAATATGTGAGTGACCATTGTTTACCAGTCAAATATTTGCAGCACCGTCATTTATCTAATCACGGCTGCCGATAGCTCGCGACCCGATTGCTGACATACTTGTTACCCGATACGTTTTCTTTACACCTGCTCTATTTTAATATATTATACGAGTACCTACATAAGTATTATTGCACCTAGTTTTAACATTAACATATTTACAATAAAAAATAATATACTTTATATGTTGCCACGTAACTTTATGTACCTACGTACGATATAGAACGATAATAATATTAAGTATTATCAGAACAATCGATTTATAATGTTTTATATACCTGAAACTGATTTAATATTTAAGAAATTAAGGAATTCAGTTTTTTCGTCCTACTTGATAGATAGGTACCTATATAAAAATGAAGAAGAAAAAGAATAACAGATAGTTATTCTTTACTGCCATTTTTTCCTGCCGATAGATAAATAGTATAGACCTCTATTTTCTATAATCTATACCTACCATTTTTTTGTTATATATATATTTTTTTAATTTAGAAAATCCTGGGTGCGATTATTTAATACGTGTTTACTGTTTAACGTCTGACTTACATATGTAATAATGAAAGCTAGATGTCATAAATCGATTCTCATTCTTTCAATTTTAACTTTGTAAATATGTAAAATCTGGACGACAATACAATTTACACGATATTATAATTTAATACCATCGAGCTGATCCCATAGCAGGAGGTGACAAGTGAAGCTCTATAGTGGTTAGTGGTTATTAGAAAAACTTTCTAATTTAGGTTAATTTGATTTGTTTACCGTGTTTGTACATACATATATTTATTACAGTCAGATATAGCGTCAATTCAAAAAAAAAAGACTTAGCCACGTTTGAGCTTCGTATATTTTAATGTAGGTATTCTTATATGAAGTAGGTAGATGCTACATTTAGTTGTAGTGCACTAAATAGAAATGCACCTAATAGTTGAATAAGCTGTATTGTAAGTAAAGTGCCATAAACTCGTACATGGAAAGAGTTTCTTGCCTCGTAAATACGATTATCGACAGAAAGAAAAAAAAAGATCATGTAAACTAAACATACGATATCGTACATGGAAGGGCGATAATCGCCTTGCAATTGAATACTGGACATCTCTGTGTAAATAAATTTGAACGCAAGAATCGATTTCGATTTCAGCCAGTCAAATAGAAGATGAAGAGATAGATAAGTTTTTCTTAAAAATGTATCCAAAGTATTTTAAGTATTACCAAGGCAACTTAGCAACATAAACATTTTCGGCTCTAGCTCCAGTCCCCATAGAAAATTTTATTTTTATCCTTTCTCCTACATATTGACTTCTCATATTTTTTATTTTTACTGGTATTACCTTCGGGCCAAATTCCTCAACTCCCAGTTCTCTCGCGAAAGCACTGAGTGCAGTATTTCTTGCATTACATTTTTTTTTATTTTTATGTTCACTATTCCACAAACATTAGTAACTTCTATAAAGTTGAACTAAAAGAACTTAATATGGTCAGCAGAACCAAATTTATATGATTTTTGTGTCATTTTGATGATAATATCGTGGTAATTACCGAGCTCGAATAGAAAATCTCGCATACAAAGAGGTTCAAACCGATTTGTACGATACATGCATATGCTTGAAAAAATGTCATAAGAGCACGAGTTTAGACGAGTCGAGAAATCTTAGGCAAATATCTCATTGCGATTTGTGTCGTAGTATAAACGAAACGTTTGGCGATAATTACCATACGAATATATTACAGTCGTAGGCGGTTACGCGATGACATACTCGTAAGCGAGTTTTTGTTTTTTGGTTGAATATAAAGTGAATGCGATTATTGCCTAAAGATTATCGCCTACTATAATAGCATACGACTTCTCACCCCAAAACGAGCGATAAACTCTCTCCTTGTTTAACGCTTGTAACGCTTAGTTCTTTTGAATACTTGGTACCTACTACTATTACAATACAATTTTCTAGTTAATGGCTTCAAAGCGTGCCAGTTGAGCATACACTATTACAAGAGTATTATATACTTCTATACCTTCCCGCTGAAATAAGTGTCTCATGATCTAATATGTCCATATAAAAATGAGTAAAATATAACAATATGTAGAGATCACCAAAAGATTAAAAAAACATGGAATAATCGTTGAAGCGGGTACTTATTTGCTAATTCTTAATAAAAATACACATTCTTTAAGGTTATTTTTTCCAAAATACTCGTATTTAGGAAGGAGTGTACATTTCTAATAAATACCTATTGCAACAAAGAGCTAACGCCTCCGTGCATTGATTGAGAACACATCTCACAAAGACATGTACCCGTTTATTAAATAAATAATAACCCTCGCACAAAGGTCTGCCGTCGGTAGCTCGACAATGGGCAAACAAACTGAGAATTAATTTCGATGAATTCTCAAAACGCCTTCGATTCTTTCGCATAGGTCCATAGAACCAATAGAAGTGTCGAAGCGACGGTTAAGCCGATTAGCTCGATACAAATACAACGTTTCGGGTCTTGACTGATTTTGACACATGTGCTATAGCCTGTAATTATTATTTCTATACAATTAAGCTTAGAACTTTTAAAGTATACAAATAAAATATTTCTCTATCATTATCCTTAATGATATCGCAAAAAACACAAAATGTTTGTTAAGTCTTTCGTATAGAGTGTAAATTAAACACCATCTTAAAAACGGTTAACCAAGTAGGTACAGGTAACTCTCCTTCCACTAAGATCTCATTGGCAGAAAGATATGTTATTTTAAAATAATTAATTATAATAATTAAAACTTAATCATACTAAATTGATATTTATAGTATTTAAATAATAAGTTGAGATAATATTATTTAGTATTTTATACTTTCGTACCTTCTGTAAGATACACTGAGTTTCCAGTAAAGGTAAATATATAGAGTAGGATAAGGTATTCACACCAAAAAGTGTTACTGAACAGTAATATCGATAAAGTGATTAGTAGGTAATCAATTTATCGTCCATATATGTATGTCTCTATACTTTGATCTATGTTTTTATAATGACTTTATCGGTCGAAGTTACTTCTGTGATTTGCCGATACACTACAAGGTGTATCCTCGACTTATGTGTAGATATACATGTATAAATAAATATTATAAATATTACAATAAAATATTAAAAATATTATCATCTATAACAGTGTATTAACCATTAATCTTCA